GAAGGGGCAGCCCCTATCCACGTGAAGAGTGTCTGCCCTAGCTCCCCCCTTGCCATGGCTAAGGGCAATATGGGTGGAGTTGCTCTAAGGGGAGGTGGGGTGGGAAGAAGATGACAGGATAAGAGAAGGAAAAGTAAGGGAGGGAAGGAAGAGAGGAGATGGGAGTAGGAGGAACAATGACCTCTTCTCTCCCTCCCCTCCCTCTCCTTTTCTCTTTTTTCAAGGTATGTGTCATTAGGGATGTTTTTTTTTTTTTTTTTTTTTTTTTTTTTTTTTTTTAAGTGAGGGTTTTTGTCAATAGAATATAGATTTATCCTTCGGTACAGTGTAATTTGATGAAGCAATTAACATACTTGACAGATTGGGTCACATTGACACATTTTGAAAGAATATAAAGTTCAAAACCAAATTGAAAGTTAAGAGGACAAAGTGAAACATGGTCTATAAAATTTAGGGAGGATTGCTAAAATTTTCTCTCTTGGGGTGCATTTTGGTTCAGAGGCTTGGGGAGAACCAAACTTATAAAGTGAAGACTAAGAAAACCATGTTTGAGGAGATTTGTATCCAAGAATTAATTGAAAATTTAGATTATGATATTACGAAGAATAATTTTTATGGTGTGTGATTGTATAATATGTAGATATTGAGAACTTCTTTGTCAATTTCGCCTAGGTCTATGAAATCTCATGATTGACTCTAATAAAACCGAATTAAAAAAAAAAAATACAAATCATAGTCTAAACTACAAGAGGAGGATGTTCTCAAACACACTACCAAAATGTCATGGAAATTCGAATATAAGATCACTGATATGCAAGTTAATGTTATTTTTCATTGAGCCATAATCAAGGTGAAAAGTAAATATAACTAGTGGCAAAATCAAAATGTTGTAAGCTGCTTTCAGTAGTCAGGTTTTTTAAATTCTTTTTTTTTTTTTTTGTGCCAATTTTTTTTTAAAATTGTATTTAATTCACCATTAAAAAAAGTTTAAAACATGAGGCGGCCCATGTAGCGGTTATCAGGTCTTCATCCACCTTAATTCACACTCCTTGAAGTTGAAACAAACTCTCTCTCTTGTAATTTTGAAGTGCAAGCAAAGAAAGCCCATGCCAAACCTACCCAATCATCATCAAATATATTCACTCCTCAAACCCTAATCTCCACCTTCGTACACACAGCACGTATCCATGGAATTGGAAACCCAACATTCTCAGCTTCCTGAAGAAGACCCTAACAACAATTACCAAGCCAATGTTGACACCTCCAGACCCTTCCGCTCCGTCAAAGAAGCCGTGGCCATCTTTGGCGACCGCCTCCTTCTTGGAGAAATGTACTCATCCCCCAAGCCTGATGGCAACAATATTGTCCAAAGAACTCCTTCATCGTCATGGAAGTTGTCGCCGATGCCGGCTAATTATAAAGAAAGCGAAGATGTTAGCAGTTATGGTGATGAGGAGGAGAATGCAGGTGATAAAGTAGTTATGGATACTCTTAAGAAGCTGGAGGCTGAGCTTGAGGAGACAAAGGTGGAGCTGAAGTTGCTGAAGGAGAGAGAGTCTGAAACCGAGGTGGCGTTGGCTTCCTTGAACGCAGAGCTTCACAAGAACATGTCCAAGTTGGCTCAGGCTGAGGCAAATAATGCAGCAATGGCTAGCAATGTACTGCATGTGGCTGCAAGATCATCGCCATTTACCGGTACCAATCATGGTTTGATGATGGAGGAAGAGAAGAACAAGAGGGAGTGGATGATAAGGATGGAGGATTCTACCTCTTTGGCTCAGATATTGAGCATTGGCACTCAGAAAAATGGCGGAGGAAAAAGAGAAAAGAAAATAATGAAGAAGAAGCCTATTGTCCCTCTTGTGCAAGATTTGTTTTTCTGGAAAAAAGGATCTTCAACTCCTCTTCGCAACCCTCTTTTTAATTCTTCTCCACAGCTCTACTATTGATGGTGAGAATATATGCTGTTTTCTTCGATATATTTCCTTCCCTTTGTCTTTTTTCTATTTGTTTTGTTTTAATTATTTTCTCCATCTAGAGTGGAAGAAAAACGTTTCATGGAGTATGTCATGTACTGTATATTAATCCAATATATATATCATCTAAACATTTTTTTTTGGCGAAACTGAACCAGCTTGGGAATCATCTTCTAGGTTTTGCTCAAATATTGTAGTTATTATAATTGGGAGGAGAGAGGGTCGAAGAGGGGAAGCAAGAAGAAGAGAGGTAAAGGGTTTGCCAATTAATTGGGAGGAGAGAGAGTAAATGGGAGCGGTTGAAGATTTATTCATAAAGTTAGTAAAAATATTTATTAATGACAAATATATTGTTTCAAATGTCAAAATAGTCGTATCTTGTACACATGTTATAATATGGATGGACGACATGATTTATTTTCTCTCCTTTTAGAGAATAGTATCTATAAATATCCACTTATATACGTACTACTGTAGTATTCTATAATCTCTCCCACCTTAGCTACAAAGACAACTATGATTACGTATGGCATTAACATTATTTATTTCATATCCATATTAGAGGTAGGAATGTAGAGAAGAGAGTCCATCATTAAGAGTAGTGAGGAGGAGCAACCATATCCAAAGAAATATACCCACATCATATATATATATAGGTAATTTTTAAGTTGACTCTGATGCGCAATTTGGCGCGCCAAAATCACGCCATTAGGCATCAATAGTGCTCAGGGTGTTGAAACTACCTCCAGCCTCAAAAATTAAATTAACCAACCAGCTGTCGAATTCCCCTAGGAGAAAATCTCCTGCAATGCCAAATATTATTCCTACCATCACAACGGAGACAGGATTTGGGCAGACACAAGTTGCCAGGGCAACGCCAACTACTTCTCCCAGCAACAAACCACCGGCTGATGCTGCAATCACTACAGCTTCATGTGTTGCCTTTTCAAGTGGGTTCTCCGCTGTAAATATTTCCCATACCGTCAGGCCTGCAACGAAAAGGTTCACCGCTATGCCGGCAGCCCTAAAGCCCTTTAATAACCGGTTAATTCTAACACTTGCCCTCCCGCCGGATGCAACCATGATTTCCTCATACACCTGCACATGCATATATGTTAAAGTCTAGTCGTAAATTTGCACGTCTAGTTTGTCTTAGGAATCATTAATTACCTGTATCTTTTGTACATCTTTCAGGTCCTGGAAACGTCCTTGAAATTTAAGCTGCACCTGATACCTGCATGAGCGACATTGAAGAAACCTCATTAGATTAAGGTCGGCAAATGACTCTATGTATTTGAGGACTATACACTGTCGCAAAAGCAATATGCATTTGCATGATGACTCACACTCAACTTCCCTTCCCAAATATATCATTCCTGGAGTGCAAAGACCAACTAGCAACCTTAAAATAACAAAATCATGCATTTAACAATCACGAATATATATGTTCTATTCAGTCTTATTATTTATAAAAGCGATGCCTAATATTCTACCAACACTGATTTTCACTTTTATCGATCGATGCATATTATCTAAAGTAAAATTTGACATAATGAATTGTCTACTACGTATGCTTGCAAAAATCATCAATCGAACTTCGAACGTGGAGTGTGGAGTAAATATTATCCACACCAAGTCTCCATTTATCATGATTGCAATATATATAAAAAATCATTCGCACGCAGTATCTAATCTTGATCATATAATTAGACGGGAGCATGATATATTTTGTAAACACAAAAGTAATCAATCATCATTTAATCAAATGACTAAAATTAAATAAAAATACGTGTGAGGACCTTTGCACAAGGCCCTCAAACTTAATGCCGCTCTCCTGGAGCCATCTTGAGAACTAGCGTGATACTGAACCACCACTAGTTTGATGCCTCCTGGTGTACCCGTAATCAGCTCTCCTGTATTCGGTCGCTTCCTTGGCCACATAGACAACACCACCCGCCACTTCCAGTGCATTGCCAAGCATTTCCACATGCTCTTGGTTCACTCCTAAAAGTTTTACACCTAGAGACTCACTTATAAGACAATCTCCAACCATGTTGGGGCTAAACTCAAATTTCTACCCTCCAAAATATAACTATTCATGTATTTTTAGGACTCAAAATTTTTTTTCCTCCAACCTTGCAAACTCATAATTTGAGTCCGCAACTTTATTAAATTGTTTAAGAATGATTAACCCTTATTTTTTTTTTGACATTATTTTTGTTTCAATACTCGTGATTTAATTTTCTAAACATTTTAACCTAAAAAAATTAAAATTCCAAAACATAATAGAATTTCACTTAAAAATAAACAAGTACAACACCATACGTATACCCGGAATGTAGAATGAAAAATTATAACAAAGGGAGAAAGGAAAAAAAAGATTTTTGGTGATTATTTACCAAATGAATGGCTATTTATAGAGTTTGGAATAAATTTTGGGGTTAGATCTGACTAGATTAATTATAAATATTAATTTGACCGTTGGATGTGAAATTTTACTGTTGAGATTGCCTAAAATGAATCTGAATCGTTGATTATCCAATATGTTGGAATATTTCAAAAAAAAGAAAAAAAAAAGAAAAAGCATAACAAAACATACCAAAAATAGCCGTTGCTTTTCAATAAACTAGAGGGAATCTTCATTCCCACTTGCCAGCAACACAGCCCATGTGATAGGCTTCTCACATCATGCAATAAAAAAATATTTATTAAAGCAGAATTGGGCCCTATAGATTTATCAGTCCAGACAGAATTCTGGGTGAAATTCCAGTCCAATTTTGAGGCATCTCAAATTTTCACCTCCCAAAATACATGGGTTAGAGATGATTTTTGGATGCTAAACTCAAAATTTGAGTTTCCACCCCAAGAGTTGGAGATGGTCTAAGTAACTCTCAATTTTACACTATGCGTTTATGTGGTATGTATGATGCATGTAAATGTATAATAGCATTTTCAACGGCTTTGGAATTCTAAAATAGGTGAGTCACGTCAGAAAAACTCTCTCCAACAGCCTCTTCAACCTCAGTCATCAAATCTTCTACCTCTTTCTCTTTTTCCATGATTGATAAGTTGACTTTGGCTCTTCAAACGTTGAATTTTACTTTGGAAAAACAAAATCTGCTTTGAAAATGTTAAAAAAATGCATTTTTTCTTTTAATATAATAAGTACATAGATATTTTTCACATGCTTTCATAATTTTTCATAATATTGCATTAATTGAATTGTTGGAGCAAAAATTATTCATGTATCTAATAAACCTTTTCAAATTGCTGGTCAACAAATTTTAGTTTGATTAATACATTTTCTGATTTGACAAAAATAACCTTCAAAATTGCAAATTATTACACCACTGACCATTGAGTCAGTTAACCATTTTCTCAGCTCTCTCACCATCGTTCAGTTTCTACGACATCGGAGGAAAATTACAAGGAAAACCGAAAAATGGCTCCGAAGAAAAAGCAGACGTCGAAGCAGAACAGCAAGCCTAAAACGACGTCATCGGGCCCGAGGCTCCAGATTTCGGCCGAGAACGAGAACCGGGTCCGCCGACTCCTGCTCAACTCAGGCCGGTCCTCGACGCCAGCGGCTCCCGTCGACGAGTCCCTTTCGAAAGCTCAGAAGACGAAGAAGCTAAAAGCCGTGTACGAAAAGCTTTCCTGCGAAGGCTTCACCAATGATCAAATTGAACTCGCTCTCTCTGCTCTCAAGGTAAACATGATTCTATATTTATTCAATTTCACACCTGTTTGGACGCCAGTGAATAATAATAGTTTGTATAGTAATAATCGGTCCTTGCAATTTTAGTTGAATGCTATTGATTTTAGGTGAATTTTAGGGTTTTGCATAATACTAGCATTTTAGAGTTATTGCTTCTACTAGTTTGCTTATGCATATTTTTGAACTCAGTAGCTTGTGGGCATTGTATTGAATGTAGGAAGGTGCTACATTTGAGGCTGCTGTAGACTGGTTGTGTTTAAATTTGACTAGTAATGAGCTACCACTGAAGTTTTCTAGTGGGACTTCTCTGCATGGAAATGAAGGTACGTTTAAACTCATTCTTGATTTGACGGGTTACTGTTGCAAATGTGCTATGGTGGGTATAGAAGTTGATTGTAAATTTTATTTTTTTGGGTTTGATGCTATGGCCCTGCGAAAATGTGATACGTCAGGTGGTTCTGTTGGCATCATATTGACTTCTCGGGATGACTGGACTCCCTCGGTGGATGCATCTACCAAGATTGATGAAGATGCACCTGGAATTTCTATCAGAACCAAGGGACAGCGGGATGATAAGACTCTTGATTCGTTTCAACCGTCTCAGGCAGATTGGATCAAACAATATGTCGAGCAACAAGAAGAGGTAACATAGATAGAGCCACTAACAGATTCACCTTCTTTTTATTTTTATTTTTGAGAAGAAACAAACTTTGTCAATACTTAATAAAAAAAAAAAAAAAACCGGTGGACAAGGAGTCCACCTAGAGAACAAGCATGAAACAAGAATGCGAACAGACAGCTTATCAAATCAAATGTAGAATATTTTTTTATCCAAAACCATCCTAGACTTCCTAACTGTTCTGCTCTAACGCACTGCAGCATTCCAATCTAGTAGAATAGCATAGAGAGAGCTATCTTTAAATTCTGTAGGAACTGAAGCCAATAAAGGCTTACCAAAATCTGGTTTCTTTCTAAAGATCCTCTAGTCCGCTGAAATATTAAAAAGTTATTTTCTTTCCATCCATACAACCCAAAGGATGGCTAACACAGTACGTCGCCACACAACTTTGTTTATTTTTTATTTCCACCATTGAAATATGTCTTTCATGTATCAAAGAATGACAGTCTTTTGGAATTACCCAGCTCACCCCAAACTTTCTAACCCGATTTATCCACAACTTCAATGCCATTGGGCAATGAATAAAAAGGTTTACAGTTGATCCCCAATCATGTTTGCACATGATGCACCATTGTGGAGAGAAGCACACCCATGATCTTCTTTTCTAAAGCATCTCAAACAAATTGAACTTAGCATGGGCTACCAACCAGCCTAGTATCATTACCTTCGGTGGGGCCCTAAATTTCTAAATCACTCTTGCTGCTTGAAAATCTGAAGCATCTTCATCATGGAAAAATTTTCATTCAAAAGAGAAAGTTCAACAGGGGATATATTGCACCCTTCACTAGATGATGCAGAAGGTCTAATAAGTAATGATTTTCAGGATGAGTCAACCACGTGGGAAGATGATGCAGCTGATGAAAGGGCAGAGAAGGTATTTTGTTTACTTGTGGTAATTTTAAGTTTATGAAGGAATGGAAGTTTGTGTAATTTTTGTCAGCATTAGTAAATGATTGGTCTGCTTTGTTAATAGTTCTTTATGAGCTCTCTCTCTCTCTCACACACACACACACACACACACACACACACACTCATGCGCTTATTAAGTAGTCATCAAAGACATTGTAATAATTGGGGATTGAAAGACTTTTGTGGCCATGAGATTTTTGCCAGTGTGCAATAAAAGGCAGGACTGAAGATTCCACCAACACTAACAACCAAATTTTGGATTGAAAGAGACAAACAACAATCTGTGAGCGTAGTCATTTTCAGCTTGGTTAAAATAGCGTCCAGCAGCCTTTTTTTTTTGGTTGCTTTTTCTTTAAGACGACGAACTTAAAAATCAAATTCTTATGATGGCAGGCCTACATTAAGAAATAAAGAAGTATAGCCTGGAGTAGCATTGGCAATTAAGTTTTCTTGACTGTAAATGATCTGGGTTTAGAAGTTCTGTTCAAAATTTTAATATGTTATTTTTTAACCGGTTGTTTGTTATTCGGCTTGCGTCTTTTTGCTTGGTTGTATGCATATGTGTTCTAACTGTTTTTCGTGTAAGAATTAGTGTTCTTTTGACACATAATTTTTATTTTAATCTCTTGTCCTGAAGCTGTTTATCTGTTTTGTTTTGTTAAAATTTAGAAACAGTTGTATGGTTTCTACAGTTTTTGGTTTACTGGTGGAGTAATTGCAAGCATGCTCTTTTCATCATGATGCTAACAGTTCTGGCCAAACGTCAACTATTTTAATAGGTCCTTAAACCAAGGTCTTATGATGTCATTGCCAAAGAGTATCGTGCTGCACGGTGGGAGGCTGCAAACGCCAAGCAAAAAGGGGACAAGAAAAGCCAGGAACGGGCAGGCAGCATCATCCGCAATCTCAAGCAAGAGTTATCTGCTCTAGGTTAAACTTTCACTTTTCTTCTGATTCAAGTTAACC